GAAGTTAGGAGCCAAGAACTTCATCCAGTCTCCCACGTGGGTGGCAGGGGCCCAAGGACTCAGGCCATCCTCCACTGCTGCTTTCCCAGGTCATTCATAGGGAGCTGGGTCAGAAGCGGAGCAACTGGGACTCAAACCTGCACTCCGAGAGGCATCTCAGGTGGTGGCTTAACCCACTACTCCACAGCACCAGCCCCATAGGGAGAGCTTCTGTCCACTGAGTCACTCCCCAGACGCCTGCAACAGCCAGGGCTGGGCCGGGCCAAAGCCAGGCGCCCAGAACTCCATCCGGGTCTTCCCCATGGTTGGCAGGGGTCCCACTGCTCGAGCCATCACCTGCTGCCTTCCCAAGCGCATTAACGGGAAGTTGGGTGGGAAGCAGAGGCGAACTTGAACCAGGCACTCCGAGACGGGATGTGGGCCTCGCAGGCACGGCTTATCCTGCTGCACCAAGCATGCACACGCATGAACACACTAACACTAGGAAACATACGTGGCCTGTGACAAGCACTGGATACATTGTCACCGCTCACCTCCGTTATACCCATGGCTAAGTGAGAGAATCGGACTAGCAACTGGGGCTCGAGCCTGGGCTGGAGGAGGTACAGAGAGGCCTTGCTGAGGAAGGGCAGGGCCGGCACTGTGGCCCAGCGAGTTAAGCTGCGGCCAGCTTCCCCGGCATCCCATGTAGGCGCTGGTTCAAGTCCCAGCTGCTCCACTTCCAATCCAAATGCTCCTGGGAAAGCAGCAGAAGATGGCCCAAGTGCTTGGGCCCCTGCACCCATGTGGGAGACTCAGACAGAGCTCCAGGCTCCCGGCTTCAGCCTGGTCCAGCCCTGACCATTGCGGCCTTTTGGGGAGTGAACCAGTGGATGGAAGATGAAAGACCCCCCCTCAGTGTGTGTGTGTGTGTGTGTGTGTGTAACTCTGCCTTTAAAAATAAATACATAAATCTTTAAAAATAAAAACATTGGCCGCAGGTGGAGGATTAGCCTAGTGAGCTGCGGTGCCGGCACCCCGGGTTCTAGTCCCAGTCGGGGCGCCGGATTCTGTCCCTGTTGTCCCTCTTCCAGGCCAGCTCTCTGCTGTGGCCCGGGAGTGCAGTGGAGGATGGCCCAAGTGCTTGGGCCCTGCACCCCATGGGAGACCAGGAGAAGCACCTGGGTCCTGGCTTCTGATCGGTGTAGCACGCTGACCGCAATGCACCAGCCATAGCAGCCACTTGGGGGTGAACCAACGGAAAAAGGAAGACCTTTCTCTCTCTCTCTGTCTCTCTCTCACTGTCTAACTCTGCCTGTCAAAAAAAAAAAAAAAGGAAAAAATAAATAAAAATAATTAAAATGTTGAGGATTCAGCCAGGCATGGAGGAGCATTTAGGTCGAGGGAACAGCATGGGCGGCAGCCACAGGAGACAAAGAAGGGGAAGCCACAGTGGCCACAGCACAACGAGCAAAGGGGGCTGGGGCAGGGACATGGAGGGTCGGCGGAGGATCCCGGGTCGCAGGAAGGTGTTTGTGGGGCCCGGAGCTGCCCGGAGCTCCCCGCTTCCCAGAAGCTCTGAGGCGGCCTGGGGAGAAAGTCCTGCCGCAGCCGGAGGAACCGAGCCACGTGCAGACCCCGGCTCCAGCCGAGGGCTCGGTGACTCACTCCTGTCCCCACCCCAAGGTCCCTCCTGCAGGACAGTCCTGGGCTGCCATGGAAACCCGCGTTGATCTGTTAAGGGGGATGTGTGGGGCGGCGCCTGCGGCCCCTCCCAGCTCCAGCCTGGCCCTCTCTCCCCCTCCCTGGCCGCCTCCTCCACGCTGGCTTCCATGCCTGCTTCTCTGCAAAACATTTCCCTCCCTGGTTCTGCCTCTCCATCTCCTCCATGCTCCATGGGAGGTGAAAACCTATCCCCTCTGGAGGCCCCGGACACAGCTGGCCTGGCGCCTCCTCTGTAAGCCGGGAAAGCCCAGGGGCAGGCTGGGACTGGACCCCAGGCACGTAAACCCCTCCTGGTCCACAGGGCAGGAGGAAGGGCACTGTGGAGACCCTGTGAGCGAGCGACAGAGAAAACGCACCTGTAACTGGGGCTGGGGAGGGGCGGGGGCTGATGCTAGCAGGTCTCAGCCAGGAATGATTTCCTGCAGAGCAGGGCGGGGGAGGGGTCTCCACGCGGCCCCTCCCCCGCGGGGCTGGCTTAATCCTCTCTAATCCCCAGCCCTTCTGCTGAGGTTGGACTGGTGTCCTTAAGAGGATTGAGGCATTTGCTAAATTAGTCCTGGTCGGGGACACGGGAAACAGACAGGGTGGAGGGCGAGAGCGGGGCGCAGAGGTGGGGGGACAGAGGCGCAGGGGGCGGGGGAAGGGGCGCGGAGAAGGAAAGATCCCAAAGGAAGAAACAAGACGAGAGGTAGGGAGTAGGAGGCAGGGCCAGAGGAGGAGCCGACCGGACAAAGTTGGCGGGGGGGGGGGGGGGGGGGCTCTGCCCCATCCTTCCCCACAGGGGCCCGGGGGTCGCCTCTGCCTCGGTGACCTCACCTGGGACCTGAGGGGCTGACGGAGAATCGACAGAGACGCAGGGGACCAGCCAGCACCAGCACTGGGCAGACAGCAGCCTGCTCCGTGGTTTCTTGAGTAATTCACAGTCCGTGACCCCACCTGCTGCAAGTGAGCGGTCCTGAACCAGCGCCCCAGGCGAGGAGAGAACGTGTCTGACACCCCACACACACCCAGAAAAGGGCGCCCTGGTGTCCACTGGCACAAATCCCACGCTGCCCGACCCCGGTGTCCTTCCTGGAGTCTCGTACACGTGGAGTCACACGGGATCCCCCGCCCAGGCCGGCACAAGGTGTTCGCAGTGGAGAGGCCCTTGGAAGGCTTCCAACTTGGGGCCTTTTAGGCTTTTTTTTTTTTTTTTAAGATTTATTTATTTATTTGAAAGTCAGAGTTACACAGAGAAAGGAGAGGCAGAGAGAGGTCTTCCATCAGCTGGTTCACTCCCCAGTTGGCCACAACAGCCGGAGCTGCGCTGATCCGAAGCCAGGAGCCAGGAGCTTCTTCCGAGTCTCCCACGTGGGTTCAGGGGCCCAAGGACTTGGGCCATCTTCTACTGCTTTCCCAGGCCATAGCAGAGAGCTGGATCGGAAGAGGAGCCGCCGGGACTAGAACTGGCACCCACATGGGATGCCAGCGCTTCAGGCCAAGGCGTTAACCCACTGCACCACAGCGCCAGCCGAGTTTGGGGCCTTTTATGCGTTTAGCAAGGTGCTCCCTGGGCCGTCTGTGCCAGGCCATACTTGCTTCTTGATTCCTTTTCAGGGCTGAGTAATATTCCCGTGGCTGGCCAGACCACGACTTGTCGACCCATCCGTCTCTGGAGAGACACTTGGGGTGCTTCTGTCTCTGGGTTCTGCTCTGAATATGAGTGGACAAGCCGTTGTTGGAACACCCGCTTTCGATGTGTGCAGAAAACCCTGAGCCCAGGAAGTTGGCCCTGCCCAGCAGCCATGCATCTTCCCTGCAGCTTTGCCTGTTTTGAAGATTCCTATAAATGGGCCCACACGCTCCTGTGGGTGTGCATGATGGTACACTTTAAAAGAGGGGGAAAAATTGGATACTTTCAATTTGTACAATTGTGTGCATTTTAGCACAAAAGTCAGTAAATAAATGTTCCCCGAGCTGCTTCTTACCAGGCACCAGGCTCCGAGACAAAGTCTGGTCACAGCCTCGCGTCCTGTCTCAGGGAGCTGTGTCTGAGTGCTGAGACTGGAGGAGCAGGATGTGGGGGAGGGGAGCCCCTGGCCTCGCGCCCCGCCCCTCGCCGCCTCATCAACCTTCCGGGCTGTAGGGGCTGGGACGTGCGTGGGACACCTCCAGTGGCGGCTGATGCACCGGGGTGCAGGTGAAGGGGCTTTCCCCCCAGGTCAGTCTCCCTCTGGGACCAGAGTCCCTCAAGGTCTGACGGTGGCGGTGAACACGGCGTCCACGCCAAGCTTCCTCTGTGTCTTTCGCCTCCCCCACAAATGCAAGTTCCTGTCCCCAACACCGGGCTCCAGCACAGAGCAGAGGCCCCCCACTCCTGCACAGACCCTAGACTCAGGGTCACCCCGCCCTGTCCCGGTCCTCCCCTTCCCCCCACCCCGTGTTTTCTGGACTCCACCCTCAGACGCCCAGCGTGTGTGGCCCCCTAGCCGTCCTCCGTGTCTCAGCTGCTCATGGGGCTCACAACCCAGGACTGTGAGACAGGAACTGGCTCCGTGCAGATGTGGGCGCCCCCGGGGGTCCACACGGTGTGCACCTCTCCCTACCCCTCCTCACGGCGAGCTTTGCTCCTGGCCCGCGGGGGCTGGTGCCACCTGCACCCACCCGCCCGCCAGCACAGGACTCTTCCCAACTCCAAGTTCATTGCCATCACTGGCACGCCCACAACGGTAGCCAGTGCACTCCCACGCAGCTCCTCCAGCTCTGCCCACGTGTAGGGGACATTGCCTTCAGAAAACACACAGGAGAGCTGGACAAGCAACTTGCCCCCATCTCCCACCAGACGTGCACATCCTGGTGCATACGTGAGCAAGTGGATGACAGACGTCTTTTAAAAGGAACAGGCGGGCAGGTAGTGTGGTGCAGTGGGTTGAGCTACAGCTTGGGATGCCCACGTCCATAAGAGAGAGCCCGGTCCAGGTCTTGGCTCCTCAGCTACCGATCCAGCTTCCTGCTAATGTGCCTGGGAAGGCTTCGGATGATGGCCCAAGTGCTTGGATTCCTACCACCCACGCTAGAGACCCGGATGGAGTTCCTGGCTCCTGGCTTTGGCCTGGCCCAGCCCCAGATGGTCGCAGGCATTTGGGGAGTGAACCAGCAGATCTCGCTCTCTCTCTGACACTCTTTCAAATAAATACATTTATTTAAAGAAAACATATGGGTGTGTGTCCATAGGCAGAATCTTCAGAAAGATCATGGATCATTTGTCTTATTAAATATTTTTTTATTTCAATTTTTTTTTTCATTTGCACCAAAATAAACGTTCTCTTCGAATGCCATCTTCCCAGGAGCGCTCTGGAATGCCCTGGGGTTTGACACAGAGCTGCCATCCTCGAAGTCTGTCGAATTCCCAGGGGGCGTTCAGGGGGCGTTTTAGCGGGCTGCTGCGGCGGGCCTTCCAAGTCCATCCTGGGGATTTCTACGAGGACCCCTAACGTGCGCTAGAGAAGAGCCCAAGTGGAGAGGAGACGAACGGAGCCCCCCCCCCCCCGCAAGGCCGGCTGCGAGTCCGCGCGGCTGCAGCTTCCCCAACCGGGGGCTGGGGGTCCCACACCCGCTGAGCCAGGGGCAGGCAGCAGGAGCCGCTCCCTGCGGAGGACCCGGTGGGGCTGGGAGCAGCTAAGCTGCACCTGGCGTGGACCGGACCTAGCGCTTGCTGGACGCGGGTCGGGGAGGCAGCCCCAGCCTCTGCACTCGGCGGCGTCTCCTACAAGATCTGGAACTTCCAGGCACTCTGGTCCTTGTAGTCCAGCGGGTCCATGGGGTTGTAGGTGAACTTCCAGGTGCCCGCGGGGTCCTTGAATTCCAAGCTGTCCACTGGGCTGTAGGCGCCGTAGCTCTGGCCCGACAGGGAGGTGGGGGACTGGGCCAGGGCGGGCCCCACGGAGGGCCCTGAGAGGGGGCTGAGGGCCGGGCCCCCCAGCTGGGGCACCATGGGGGAGAGGTAGGGATCTAGGCCGCTAAAGTAGGAGCTGGGAGACCCGTAGGCGGAGGGGGAGGAGCAGAACGCGGAGGCGGGCGCGTAGGTCATGGCGTAGGGGGCCGGGGTCAGAGACGGCGCCGAGGCCACCAGCCCCGCCCGCTGCGCTTCGGACAGAGGGGACTCCGAGGCCGGGCTCCAGATGGACACGGTGGCCACTGCCGCGGTGGGGGAGGCCGAGGGGCCGGGCAGAGGCGGGCTGTAGGCCTCGGAGAGCCCCAGCGGGTCTGCGCAGACGTCGGCTGAGGGCCGCGGGGACGCGCCCGCCTTCCTCTTGGCCGGGCGAGCCTTGGCCTGCGCCCCCGGCGGCGGCGGCTGCTGCTGCTGCTTCTGCTGCTGCCGCTGCTGCCTGCACTTGGCCCTGCGGTTCTTGAACCACACCTGAGGGAGGAGCGGGATTGGGTGGGGAAGAGGTCCCGGGGAGCAGCGGCGAGGCCCGCGATGAGTCTCCCCGCTGCGCCCCCAAGCTCGGAGCATGTGTCTGCCCACCCTGTCATACATGCATGCGCACACATGCATGTCCCCTACGCACGTGTGTGCCCACCCCTGATCACACACGTGCACAGGCAGCCACACGGAGACAACATAGGCACGGGCCATGCACACATGCAGTTGTTACCTGTGCACAGTGGGGCGTGCATTGTATGTGCGTGGGGCGTGCACACATCATGTACATGCACCCGTCCGTTCACACGCACTGCCGACCGTCACCCAAGTACGCACGCGTGCATCCATTCATCCATCGCACACACGTCTGACAGGGCTTCCAGTGATACACTTACACACGCAAACACACCCATCCCTCCATCCAATCGTGTGTGCACAGACATACGGTCACACACTTACACACGCATCACGCACCGGGGTAAGAACCCATCCAGTCCTACAAACACACACTCAGCTATCCGTGAGTACACACATACACTGATCTGTCTTCCCCGCCATTCATACACACACACACACACACACGTGCACACGACCATGCGAGCACCATGCGTTCTTCCACCCACCCATGCAACCTGTTCCTAAACCTGCATTAACCACGCCCTGCTGCCGCAGGGATCCCCCAGGGGAGCTCTGTGAGTAAATCTGAGAATTTCAGAATCTGGCGCATGCGACAAAGGGGCTCTACACAGTGGGGTGGGAGGGCGCTGCGGTTGCAAACGCTGCGGTCAGTTGGGCCTCCTCAGGGGATGAGGCAGCCCGATTGATTGATAAGCAAAGACCCAGACCAAGTGGCAGGGCCGGAATAAGCATTCCCGCTCAAGGACGCAGAGCGCGCAAAGGTCCCGAGGCGGGAACGCGCTGCACACAGAGCCGCTGTGGCTGCAGTGGGCTGAGACGGGTCCGAGTGGGAGCAGGAGGGGGGCGACATGCGGGGGCCACCCTCCAGGCCTGGCCGCAGGGAGGGACGGGAGGGGCCCGGGGTGCACAGCCTCCCACCTGCACCCTGGACTCTGGCAGGTTGATCTTCAGCGCCACCTCCTCGCGGGCGTACACGTCCGGGTACTGGGTCTTGGCAAACAGGGCCTCCAACTCCTCCAGCTGGCTCCGCGTGAACGTGGTCCGCTCCCGCCGCTGCTTCCGGGGGGCGCCTGGCGGGGAGGGCTTCGGGTGACTCAGGCCTGCTGGGGGGAGCCCCTGCGGCGGGAGGGACCACGAGTACCCCGGGCGCCTGGCCCCTGCCCTTCCACACCTCCCTCTGTCGCTCTGGGACACGGGGCGGAGGGTCTCCGTGCCCCCCCCCCCGCCCAGGGATCTGGCTCCAGCTGGGGAGCAGGTGCCTGAGTCCGCTCCTTCACCTTCTAAAATGCCTAAGATGCACACAGGTGGAGCGTGACCCCGCCCGTGTGGGTCTAGTTCACGCTCAGAAACAAAGCCACGAATAACTGACTGCTCCCTTCTCTTAGAAATGGGGCCTGGGGGCTGGTGATATGGCTTGGGGGGGGGGGCGGAACCAGGCATCCCGTTTAGGAGCCCGAGGTTCGAGTCCCTGCTGCTCCACTTCCAATCCAGCTCCCTGCTTGTGCACTTGGGGGAGCAACAGATGACCCAAGTCCGTGAGCCTCTGCCATCCACATGGGAGACCCAGATGGAGCTCCTGGCTCTCGGCTCTCAGCTGTTGTAGCCATTGGGGAGTGAACCAGCAGACAGAAAAGCTCGCTCGCTCCCTCCCTCCATCTCTCTCTGTCACTCTGCCTTTCAAATAAAGGAATCTGTACAAAGGAAGCAAGCTTTGGAAGGAAGGCACCCTTGACTTGCTTCCCAGGGAGTCACCTTCCTCATTTCTCTGGCCACGTCCAGCACTCTCTCCCCGCCCCTCTAAGGGACACTTCGCGGTGTTTTTGCACCTGCAGATAAGTACACCGAGCTGCCATGCAGCCCCAGTGTCACCCCCTCTTCTAAGCGTCATCTTCCGGAAGGCAAGGGACCCCAGAGGCCCCCAGGAGTGGGGGCGGCTCGGCACTCACTCGGGTAGGGCACAGCCTGGTGCATCAGATCCACGCTGGGGCCGCTCAGGGCCAAGGCGTTCACGGAGTAGTGGGGCCCCGGGTTCATATACGCCATCATGATCTCCAGGGCCCTGGGGCCCGGGGCAGGGGGCCTGCAAAAGAAAGGGGGGGTGAGACACACACTCGCCAGTCACTCTCCACCCGGCGACACTCAGGCTCAAGTTCAAATCCTGCCTCTGTCTCTTAGCTTCGGGCCATCTCTGACCTCTCTGCACGTTCAAGCTTAAGGCTGCCAGGGCTTCCCTGGGACTCTGGGGAGTGGACTGAGGCCACACCGGCTTCGGCAGCAGCTCCATCCAAACATCTGATGGTGGAGACGGGGACAGGGTCGGGACCGTTCAGCCCAGCAGTGAGGATGCCCGTCCCGTGTCGAGGTGCCTGTGACCACACCCGGCCCTGGCTCCTCACTGCAGCTCCCTTCAGGCAGCAGGCGAGGGCTCAAGTCCTGGGGTCCCTGCCATTCACATGGGAGACCTGGGTGCCATTCCAGGCTCCTCGCTTCAGCTTCCCGTGTAGAGTCCCAGGCACATTAGCAGGGAGCTGGCTCAGAAGCTGAGCAGGGACCGGCTCTATGGTGTAATGGGTAATGCCACCGCCTGCAGTGCCAGCATCCCATATGGGCGCCAGTTCGAGTCCCAGCTGCTCCATTTCTGATCCAGCTCTCTGCTGTGGCCTGGGAGTGCAGTGGAGGATGGCCCAGGTCCTTAGGCCCCTGCACCCCCAGGGAGACCCGGAAGAAACTCCTGACTCCTGGCTTCGGATTGGCACAGCTCCAGCCATTGAAGCCAACTGGGGAGTGAACCAGCGGACAGAAGACCTCTCTCTCTCTCTCTCTCTCTCTTTCTTCTTCTTCTTCTTCTTCCCCTCCTCCTCCTCCTCCTCCTCTCTGTGTAATGCTGACTTTCAAATAAATAAATAAATCTTTAAAAAAAAAAAAAAAAGGCACTATAGGCCGGCGCCGCGGCTCACTAGGCTAATCCTCCACCTAGCGGCGCCGGCACACCAGGTTCTAGTCCCGGTTGGGGCGCCGGATTCTGTCCCATTTGCCCCTCTTCCAGGCCAGCTCTCTGCTGTGGCCAGGGAGTGCAGTGGAGGATGGCCCAGGTGCTTGGGCCTGCACCCCATGGGAGACCAGGAAAAGCACCTGGCTCCTGGCTCCTGCCATCGGATCAGCGCGGTGCGCCAGCGGCAGTGCGCTGGCCGCGGCGGCCATTGGAGGGTGAACCAACGGCAAAGGAAAACCTTTCTCTCTCTCTCTCTCTCTCTCTCTCTCTCTCTCACTGTCCACTCTGCCTGTCAAAAAATAAAAAAATTTAAAAAAATGCGCTATAGCTATGCAATAAAAAGAAATGTATCAAGAAGCTGAGCAGAGCAGCCGAGCCTCTAACGGGCGCTGGGATACGGGATGCCGGCACTGCAGGTGGCAGCGAAACCCACTGCACCACAGTGCCGACCCCTCAATAGATCTTCCACCTGGGTTTATCATATTTGCGTCTGAAAATCAGGTTTTTAAATATTTTTAATTACACTTTGCCATAGGTGTGTTGGTCTGTGTATGTTACATAGCATATATGACCAAATGCTACATATATATTTATAATATCGTACTCACTAAAAAGTACTGCTATAACCTTTATGAGCATGAGATTTATTATATAGTGTATAATGCATGTACATTACCATTGTATTCATCTTTTAAATTTTGTATTTATTTGAGGAGCAGAGAGACATCTGGTTCACTGCCCACAGTGGGTTTGGCAAAAGCCAGGAGCCAGGCGCACGGTCCAGGTCTCCCAGGTGGGCAGCAGGGACCCAATTATTGGATCCATCACTGCTGCCCCCCAGGGTCCGCACGGGCGGGAACCTGGGGTCAGGAACGGAATCCAGGCACTTGGATAGGGGATGCGCGCATCTTAACCACCAGCCCAAAGGCCCCCCCGCTTGTCGTGTCGAGCTTTAGAACACAGCACGACTTTATTCCTGTATGTGTGTACATATATGTGCGTGTGTGTGTGCACATGCGTGGCAGCAGGTGCCATTTAGTGAGGTGCAAGCTCCCTCTAGGGCGGGAGGCAGTGAGGTGGCCCGGGGTAGGGGGGCCACCTGCAGACCCCGCCCTCACGGTGTGGGTCTCTGTAGCTGCCTCTCCCAAAGCAGAAACCGCGAAGTCTGTGCCAAGCAAAGGAAGCTGGAGGTGTGCAGGGCTCCCCGTGGGCCGCGGCGACAGCTTCTCTGCCCGGCGGGAGCCCCCACTGCTCCTCCCAGCCTCCCGGGAGGGGGCCATCCCTGAGTTCGGCGCACAGTCCTGTGTCTCCTGCCCCTCGGGACGAATAGAACTTCCCTTAGCTCGTGGGATAACTTCACTTTGGTGCCCAAATTTTTGAAATGCAAACATACGAAGGACATGCAAGAAGTTCATGGAAAGGGGCCAGCACTGTGGCGCAGCCTCCCATACGGGCGTCGGTTCGAGTCTTGGCAGCACCATGTCCCACCCAGCCCCCTGCTAACGCGCCTGGGAAAACAGCGGAAGGTGGCCCAAGTCCTTGGGCCCCTGCACGCATGTGGGAGACCAGAAGAAGCTCTTGGTTCTTGGCTTTGTATTGTCCTAGCTCCGGCCATTGTGGCCATTTAGGGAGTGAGCCAGAGGATGGAAGATCTTTGTCTCTCCCTCTCATTGTCAAACTCTACCTCTCAAGTAAATAAATAAAATCATAAAAAAAAATCCACACAGAAAGACAATATGCCTATTTTCAAAATTAAAAAAAATACTGGAACGCCCACATTCCATGTCAGAGTGTAAGTCCTGGCCCTTCTGCTTCCGATCCAGCTTCCTGCCAACGCATACCCTGGGAGGAAGCAGGCGATGGCTCAAGTGCTCGGGCCCCTGGCACCCACATGGGAGACCCGGATGGAGCTCCAGGCTCCTGGCTTCTGGCTGGCCCAGCCATGGCTGTTGTGGACATTTGGGGAGAGAACCAGCAGGTGGAAGTTCTCTCTCTCTCTCTCTTTCTCTCTCTCTCTTTCTCTCTCTCTGTGTGAAAATAATTTTAAAATATTTATTTATTTTAAAAAGATTTACGTATTTTATTTGAAAGGCAGAGTTACAGAGAAAAAGAGAGAGGGAGAGACAGAGAAAAAGTGATCTTCTGTCCACTGGTTTAGTCTCCAAATAGCTGTAACAGCCAGAGCTGGGCCAAGCAGAAGCCAGGAGCCTGGAACTCCATCTGGGTCTCCCACGTGGGTGACTGAGGCCCAAGGACTTGGGCCGTCCTCTGCTGCTTTCCCAGGTGCATTAGCAGGGAGCTGGATCGGAGGGAAGTGGAGCAGCCAGGACACAAACCGGTGCCCGTATGGGATGCCAGCATTGTAGATGGCAGCTTAACCCACTGTAGCACAACACTGGCCCCATAAATAAATTTTTAAAACAGCAAACTGGCCGGCGCCACGGCTCACTAGGCTAATCCTCTGCCTTGCGGCGCCAGCACACCAGGTTCTAGTTCCGGTCAGGGCGCTGGATTCTGTCCCGGTTGCCCCTCTTCCAGGCCAGCTCTCTGCTGTAGCCCGGGAGTGCAGTGGAGGATGGCCCAAGTGCTTGGGCCCTGCACCTGCATGGGAGACCAGGATAAGCACCTGGCTCCTGGCTCCTGCCATCGGATCAGCGCGGTGCGCCGGCTGCAGCACGCCGGCTGCGGCGGCCATTGGAGGGTGAACCAACGGCAAAAGGAAGACCTTTCTCTCTTTCTCTCTCTCTCACTGTCCACTCTGCCTGTCAAAAAAAAAAAAAAAAAAAAAAAACAAACTGGATGCTCTCAGAGTTTCATGAACTGGGGAGAAAATAAAATGGGGTGATGCGACGGTCCCAGTGTTGGGGGACAAAGATGAAACCCCCAACTGGGTCAGTCCTGGACGGAGAGGATCCCAGCAGTAGGGACAGCAGGTGCAACGGCCCGGAAGCTGGAATCACTTGGTCCAGTGTGACCAGAACCAATCACAGGGCAGAGAGGAAAGATCTAGGAGGAGCTGCGGGGGCGTCCTGGGGTAGAAACGCATAGAAACAAACCAGCAGCAGAGAGCAGTCCACCCTGATGGCCACACCCTGCGGGGACCCCTGTGGGTCGGCAGGGGCTGCAGTACCTAACCAAGAATGCTGGGGACCTGGCAGAGGGCAGCCCCCAGGGAAAGCGGAGCTGGCTGCCGCCTTAGGAGGAGGCTCAAGCAGCCAAGTGGGAGATCTATGCCTGCTGCCCACCGCCTTGCAAGCTTGCAACACTTTGTTACCTTTCGTAGCAATTCAAACAGCCCCAGGAAACTGGCATTCCAGCCTCCCCCTGACCTCCAAGCAGGAAGTACCTTGTCACACAGCCCTGGGAGGCAGGGACCCCATCGCACTCCAAAAGTTGTGCTCAGGCCCAGCGAGGCCCTCTGGGGACCCCGGATTCCACCCCTGCCTTCTCAGCCCCTCCATCCGCCTCCCCTCTGCTGTCTCCCACTTTGCAGAGGAGAAGTGTTTGCTATGAACCCCAAGAGAGCATGGGAAGAGGGAGACTCGGGAGGACCCCGCAGTGGGGCAGGAGGACCCTGCTGGTGTCCCCAAAAGCCTGGACTTCCCATGAGGACAAGCCCATCCTACAGGCAGGATCCCAGGGGAGGAAGGCGCGTGCCCAGGGCCAAGCAGCAGCATGTGGGAACCCAGGGTTGATCTGTTCGCTAGGCGTGGATGAAGCCACGAAGACGGGATGTGACAACAAATGACAAGCAAGAAATGAACTCGGAAGGGCCTCCCTGGAACCTCCTGAGAGGAGTGGGCGGCAACACGAGCACCCCAGGAATTGTCAGCCAGGATCTCAAGCGGCTGATTCCGGCTGTGTCTGGGAACTGACCATGGTCCTGACAGCGCCCCCTGCCCCGCTGCATTTCAAGGCCCCAGGGCTGGTGGGAGGGACGGCAGCACCGGCCAGGGGCCCCGCGTCCACCTGAGCGCTCACCCCCACCTCCTGGGCAGGCCTGCAGTGACCCCATTCTGCATGGAGGGGTCTCTGAGCCTGCTGGGGAGGAGGATGCCCACCCTAGTCCAGGCATTGGATAACAATAAGGACGTCCCAGCGTTCCCAGCTATTCAGTCCCTGCAGCACGGCCTTGGGAACAAGACATCGGGGGACAAGAACCTGGGGGAGGAACTGCCTACGAGGCTGCTCCTGGCATCAGCCCCAGTATACAGAGGGGCAAATTGAGGCTGGTCCCATGACACACACAGGCCAGCAGCTGGGCCAGCGCCCCCTGAGCCTATACCCACCTTGCTCTCCCCCAGTCCCCCAGAGCCCAGGGGTCCCAAGGCCACATGGGTGGTAAGTGGCAGAAGCAGAGAGAGAACCCAAGTCTCTCAGGACCCATCGTTGTCCCCCAAACCTACCTGGGGTCCCAGGAAGCAGGATGAGGCCACCCCGCCCCTCCCCTGGCCTGTGACCCCAGCCTCCCTCAGCTCCTCCGTCACCAGCCCCACCTTGCAAAGGAGGAGACCGGAGCCCAGGGAGGCCACACCCAAAGGGCTCCATGCCCACCCTTGGCAAGGGGCCCCAGCTCGGCTGTGTGCCCCCCCATACGATCTCTGCAGCCCCCGAGGGCTCCTCTGTCCTGGGTCCCCAGGGAGCAGGAGAGACCAGGAGCTGGAACCTCGGAGGGGATGTGGCACGGCCGGAGCCGTTAGGCGTGGCAAGGTCCCCAAGTAATGAGGTCACCAGCCTCATGGCTCCCAAAGCATCCCGGCCCCTCGGGCAGTCCCCCCAGGGTCCCCACTTAGCAGAGCCCGAGAGCCCGGCCCCGCGTGCACGCGTCGCTTCCTTTCTGTCTTTCCCTGTCCATCCATTCACACCCTGGCAAATCCCCCACCACACAGCAGGCACTGGGAAGAAATCAGGGGTCAGAGAGAGAGAGAGAGTGGGAGAGGCAGATGCCCAGAGAAGAAAGTTCCAGGCAGCAGTGAGACTTCTCAGGAACACCCCGCAGGGGTGCAGAGGGGCTGTCTGGGAAGGACGGCCAGAAGCCCTCACCCCTGCACCCTCCATCCAGGGCCCCTGCGTGTGCCCAGGGCCAGTCCCCGCCCTCTGCTGTGTACCTGCCCAGTCCGCCACCCCACAGACCCAGCCAGCCGGGAACAAGGGGAACTCGGCCCCGGCCCCAACCCCGGCCCCCGCCGCAGTGCCCTCTGCCTCTCCTGCACTCGCTCACCTTCCGAAGGCAGGGACCGACCTGGCTGCCCTGGTGGCCCAGGTCCCGCACACGGCACAGGAGTCACCCAGGCTGCAGAGGCAGAAGGAAACAGGTCCCCACCCGCCGGGTGATTTTAAGCCCCGGAGCCGGGAGTGATGTCACACGCTGTGGCCTGGATCCCGGGGGGGTAATCCCTGCCGCCGAGCTGGGGCACCCACTGGGCACCGGGAGGTGACATTGGCTAGGAGGGGGAGGGGCACCCATCTGCCTAAGTCCCCTCGCCCCTCCCCCGACATCTTGGCAATTAGGGCTAATGGAGATGTGGGGGGACAGTCCTGCACCTGCCTGTGACCAGAGCCTCCACCCCTCGGGAAGTCCTTGCTTGGGTCTGACTGGTGCCCGTCCGGCTTTAGCTTTGTCACAGAGGGACGCAGCAAAGATGGACAGAAACACAGGGCGCTCCTGAGAGATTGTGGGGAGGAGGAGGGGCCCAGGGCTCTCAGCACCCACTCCTGGGTGCCCCCGTGCCTCCCCAGCCGCCCATCTCCCCATTGCCACACTGTCCTCTGCTTTCTGCCTCAGTTTCCCTCTTATGCTTTCCTTGCCTTGGCCTCACGCTGGTCCCTGACCTCCGCGTCCTCGCTCTCCCGCCCACGCTCCCGTTCTCGCTCGATTTGTGTGGGGCCTCTGTGCCTCAGTGTCTCTTCCTTCGGGCCCCAGGCTGTGCCTTGTGTGCTGATTGGCCCGTGCACCCCTCGCTCTCCCCCCACCCTCCTCTGTCTTTATGGGCCCACTTCCAGGACCCACTTGCTCGAGTGCTCGGGCACTCTCTATGCTGGTATGTGTGTGTGTGTCTGTCTGTCTGTCTCTCCCCACACACACCCTCCGCCGCCCTCCCTCCCCTCCCCAGCTGTCTCTCCCTCGGCCTCAAGGACCCGCCCTCATTTTGCTGGATCCCTGCCTGTCCCCCTCTGCCTGGGGCTCCAGCCTGGTCTCAGCCCCTCTGCCCTCGGCCGGGCAGACCTGTGTCCCCCACATCCAACCCTGAACCTGCCCCTCTCTTCCTCCCTGCCTCTGCCTCCCTCACTCCCCAGGCCCCTCCCTCTGTGTCCTCCCTGGGGTTGGGGGGGGGCCTCTTGCTGACTCGCTCCCTCCCGGGTTCCTTGCCTGGTCTCCCTCTGCACTGTCTCACTCTCTGTCTCTGGATGTTAACATCTCCCTGGGCTCTTGTCCCCACGTGGGTCTGCTCTACTTTCCCCAGACCTCCAAACAGGCATAGAAACACACACACACACGCAAACACAAACCCACATGGAACACACACAGGCAAACACAAACCCACATACAAAGACACTCAGGCATGCATGCAGGCACACATGAGCACACACACAGGAATCCCTCCTCTGGCGGCCACTGTACCTCACCATAAGGAGCCCTATCTCCACCCCCCCTTCTTCCATGCCCCCTGCTGGGAGAGATTAAGGCCAGCTGGGGAATCAGGGCAGGTCTCATTAGCCTGAAGAGCCAGGGTGACAGACAGAGAGGGAGGGGCCCCTGGCCCTCAGGGACCAGTCAGGACGTCCTGATGGGAGAAGCCCATCCCAGGACAGACCCTGCTGCCCCCCTCCGCCACGGCCCCCAGAGCAGGGGAGGGGGTGGCTCTGCAGGAGATGGAGACAGGACAGATGGGCCCATGGAGGAGGGGACTGAGCTGTCAGTCAGCTCCCGCTGGCAAGCTGCCAATCAGCAGTGCTGCTAGAGTGGGTTGGAGAAGTGGGCTCAGGAGGCCCCGTGCCCTGGCCCCAAGGGGGTCAGTCCAGGGAAGCTGGAGCAGAGTGCTTTCTTCCTGGACCACACCAAGGCTCCCTTTCTTCACCCCACATCCAGTCCACCCACAGGCCCTGTCTTCTTTCAAATGCTTGTCCGTGGCACAGTGGTTAAGACACCCACATCCCACAGTGCAGTGCCTGAGTTTGGTTCCCACCTCTGGCTCCAGACTCCAGCACCCTGCCAATGCCCACCCTGGGAGGTGGCAGGCGAGGGCTCCAGTCACTGGGTCCCCAGATGAGGTCCTGGCTCTCCAGACACAGTCCAGCACAGCCCCTGATGCTGTGGGCATTTGTGGATAGGATCTCCCTCTCCCACTCTCTCTCTCTGCCTCTCAAAGATTAGTTTTCAATGATAATAATAATAGTAATAAAATTGCCCTACAGAAACATATAGAACGCTGCTGGGAGGCACCAAAGAACAGCCAAATCAGCCATGAAGTGTACCATGTTCATGGACTGAAACACTCCAGACCCTGAAGACATCAGCTGATCTCAAACCAGCCTTAGATTCCCTGCCATCCCTACCTAACTCACAGCAGGATTTTCTTTTAGAAATGGGCAAGCGGCCGGCGCCGCGGCTCAATAGGCTAATCCTCCGCCTGCGGCGCCGGCACACCGGGTTCTAGTCCCGGTCGGGGCACCGGATTCTGTCCCGGTTGCCCCTCTTCCAGGCCAGCTCTCTGCTGTGGCCAGGGAGTGCAGTGGAGGATGGCCCAAGTGCTTGGGCCCTGCACCCCATGGGAGACCAGGATAAGAACCTGGCTCCTGCCATCGGATCAGCGGCTGGGGCGGCCATTGGAGGGTGAACCAACGGCAAAGGAAGACATTTCTCTCTGTCTCTCTCTCTCTCACTGTCCACTCTGCCTGCCAAAAAAAAATAATAATAATAATAATAAATAAATAAAAAGAAATCCATTCACCTGCAGGATCTTCAAAGAGTTCATAAAAAATGCATCTTGTGACTGAAAATGACGCATGAACCTCGTCTTTGCTTTGAGCCAAATCAAATTCATCATCTCATTCCCTTATCCACAAAAAGGAGTCTCATGTTTGTTCAGTGATCGAGTGGCCAAGACGGAGAGGGACAAAAGAGGGAATCTTGGTGGTGTCGGGATCCCCAGGGCCAAAGACGAAGCAAGAGAGGGTAGGGTTAGGCCGGGGTGGGGGTGCCGCCCCAGGGTGGGAAGCTCTGGGGGACCCGTCGGGCTTCTGCTTCCTTGGGCGCCCCCTTGTGGCCGCAGCCGGTGCTGCCCCGTCCTGGTCTCCAGACCTCTTAGGCCAGATAATTAGCCCAGGCTGTACCCCAGGCCAGGTGTCCTCACGCCGGCACCCCTTAGCTTCCTAGCACAGTCACCCTGTTTTTATCTCCTTTCTAGTCTGATTTGTGCTCAGCTGCATCCCCAGTGCCAGTGCACAGCAGGTGCCCAGTGACTACAGGTGGGATGAAGGGGGGCAGAGGGACTCACACCAGGAGGAGGTGTGCTTTAGAAGACCAGAGGCTGGGAGTCGGCAGGTGGACACTACCTGCGACCCCAGCGCCTGTCTGAGTCCCGGCTGCTCCACTCACCCCAGGGGAACAATCAGATCATCCATCAGCCAGGGGCCAACTCAGCATGCCAGATTGCTGTGCCGTGGGCTGTTAGCTGTCACTTCCATAGCGCTCAGGGAAAGAAGCCAGACCCAAAAGCGACATATGGGGGCAGGCGTTTGGTGCAGTTTTAAGGTGCTGCTTGGGGAGCTGGTGCTGTGGCACAGCAGGTTCAGGCACCATCTGTGGCACCTGCATCTCTTACGGGCACAGGTTCGAGTCCCGGCTGCTCCACATCCCACCCAGCTCCCTGCCAATGCACCTGGGGAGGCAGCAGAAGGTGGCCCAGGTGCTTTGGCTCAAGTTTCCCGTGTGGGAGGGCCAAAAGAAGCTTCTGGCTCCCGATTGGCCCAGCTCCAGCTATTGGGGCTATTTAGGGGGTGAACCAGAGGATGCAGGATCTCTCGTTCTGTCTCCCCCCGCCTTCTCAAATAAATCTTCTAAAAACAGTTTGCAAGCAGGAAAGCCAGGGCTGTTTCTGGCTTTGGGTGCCACACTGGGGTGCAGACCCCTCAGCTCTCCCCTCCCCGACCTGTCTCCCTGCAGTGCTGGGTGGGAATCCAGGGAGGCGGCGTGCACGCGGGGGCAGCTGGACACTGCGCCCAAATCTAACCGCTGTGGAGCCCCGCGGGCAGCCCTGGCCCAGGGCCCCTCCCCAGCCTGCTCCTGGCTCAGTGCCTTCCTCCAGAGTTCGGGAGCAGGGGTGAAGGGGCAGCCCCTGCCTTGGAAAAGCAGGCAAATGCTTCCGGATGAGAAAAGAGAGGCCCCAGGCCCTGGGGGTGGCAGTCACGCAGGGAAGCCACGTTCCGGGCCCCAGGAGCCCATTCACCCCGGCTTCCAGCCCCAGCCTCGGGGCCTTCCCATCTGATTCGCTCCCTGCTGGCTGGGCGCAGGCCGACCTGGCCTGAGAGCCCTGGACACCAGGACGCGGCAGCACCGGCCACGCCCACAAGGGGGCGCCCGGGGAAGCAGGCGCGGTGACGGGGCGGTGCGGGGCAGCCGGTGCGGGGCGGGGCGGGGCAGCCGGTGCGGGGCCGGCGGGGAGCGGACGCCCAGCCCTCCCTGCCTGCCTAGGAACTTTCACAGGGTTAAGAGACGGCCAGCGTCGCTGGCTTTTAACGTCTATTCTGAGCCTCTTTCCTGACCACCCACTCGCCCCTCTCTCTGTCTTTTTGGGAGTAACAAGGGGTTCCGGTAATGGGAAACGAGTTGCGGGGGTGGCAGCCTTGGGGGCGTCTGAGCAGCGCCCTCAGAGATGACCCCAGGGATGCCTGGGCTTGGAATGTTCTGGAAGGGCCTGGTTTTACCGGAATCTGTGCAGAGCCCTGGCTGCCACCCACAGGTGAAATGACTGACAGCTTTGTGGTTGGTGTCGGATAAAACATTAAAACACACACATAAAGGACATTGTAAACGGTGTAAGAATAAGAACATTTCAAAGTCCTCAGTCTTCATTGTTGTAAAATTGTTTAAAAATGATTTGTGGAGCCCAGCGCTGTGGCGAAGTGGGCTAAGACTCTCGCCTGCAGTGCCGGCATCCCATACGGGCACCAGCTCGAGTCCCAGCTGCTCCACTTCCGATCCAGCTCTCTGCTGTGGCCTGGGAAAGCAGTAGAAGATGGCCCAAGTGCTCAGGGTCGTGCACCAGCATGGGAGACCTGGAGGAAGTTCCTGGCTCCTGGCTTCAGATCG